GCTGGAATGCAGTGGCGTAAACTCAGCTCACCGCAACCTCCACCTCCTGGGCTCAATTGATTCCCCTGCCTCAGCCTCCTGAGTAGCGGGGATTACAGGAGTGCACCACCACACCCAGCTAATTTTTGTATTTTCAGTAGAGACGGGGCTTCTCTATATTGGCCAGGATGGTCTTGATCTACTGACCTTGTGGTCCGCCTGCCTTAGCCTCCCAAAGTGCTGGGATTACAGGTGTGAGCCTCTGCACTCGGCCGAGGAGCTCTTTTATTAGATCCAGAACCCTGCAGAGAGCCCTCTGCCACATTCTGCCTGCTGCTGTAGACTTCTGCCTCTCTACTAGTATAAGAAAATATAAAAAAGAGGGGGCAGAGTCTGAATTCTACAGTAAGTATCTTATATTCACGTTGTTCAAAATTCAAGGCAATATGAGATCTGTAAACACTATTCTCTACCTTTCTTTTTTCACTTTACATGATCGTGTTATCTCCTGAGGACATCTCCAGATCAGTACATAGTTTACTCCTTCTTTTCCACAGCTCCTTAGTATTCCTGCGTGTGGAGCAGTGGAGTGTATTGAACCAGTTGCCTGCTCACTCAAGTTGTGTTCAGGCTTTTCTAACTGGGTAACACTGCAGTCTGTCACCTTGTGTCGTACGTGTGCAGGTATAACTGCAGGATAATTTGGAGGAAGGGAGTTGCTGGGTCAGAAGGATGCAATTTATCATTTGGTCGGCATTGCCACTTTGCCCCCATTGGTATCCTATCAATTTATATCCCCAGATACAAAGGCACCCATGTTCCCAGCATCCTCTCCCTTGGGCACTGCATGCTTTCAGCTTAGGTGACCACCTTTTTGCTCTGATAAACAGGTTTAGGATTTGGTTGGAGAAGACCAGATGGTGACTAGGTCACAGTCTCCTTCCTCTTGTTTGTTTTTTGTTTTTTTGAGACAGAGTTTCACTCTTGTCTCCCAGGCTGGAGTGCAATGGCACAATCTCAGATCACGGCAACCTCTGCCTCCCAGGTTCAAGCAATTCTCCTGCCTGAGCCTCCCAAGTAGCTGGGATTACAGGTGCCCGCTACCACTCCCAGCTAATTTTTTTTGTATTTTTAGTAGAGTTGGGGTTTCACCGCGTTGGCCAGGCTGGTCTCAAATGCCTGACCTTAGGTGATCCACCTGCCTCTGCCTTCCAAAGTGCTGGGATTACAGGCGGGAGCCACTCTGCACACTCGGCCCACAGTCTCCTTCCAAGCAGCTCTGGGATCATGCACTCTAATTCCCTTTCTGTGCCTTGAGAAGCTTCCTAAACTTTGCTTTGTTATGACTCCAGCTTGTAGCAATAATAATGATGGCTACAGTTTACTGAGCAGCTATTATGTACCAGGCATCAGGTAATAAGTAGCCAACCCAGATCCCACTCCAGATCTGATTACTGTGCTTGCTCTGGCAGCAGCATGCTACCTTGGTTTCGTTTCCTCTCTCTTTTTTTTTTTTAAATTATTAATGGCCAACATTAGGTTTTTTTCTTTTCTTTTCTCAATTAGCTACCTTGGTTTCTTATCAGCAGTAAGGCCTACCAGAGTCCCTAATCCCTTCTTTCTTCACTTCCTACTGGGAACTTCATGTAGGCACCAGCAAACCCCACCTCATTTAGGATCACCAGTGGTCTTTGAAGCACCTATGGTGCTCTGACCAAAAAAGCTGTCATTGGCCTGGTGAAGTAGCTCATGCCTGTGATCCCAGCACTTTGGGAGTCTGGGGCAGGCAGATTGTTTTGAACTCAGGAGTTTGAGACCAGCCTGAACAACATGATAAAACCCTGTCTCTACAAAAAATAGAAAGTTTTTTTTGAGACGGAGTCTCGCTCTTGTTACCCGGGCTGGAGTGCAATGGCGCGATCTCGGCTCACCGCAACCTCTGCCTCCTGGGTTCAGGCAATTCTCCTGCCTCAGCCTCCTGAGTAGCTGGGATTACAGAAAAAATAGAAAAATTAACTGGACATTGGTGGCTGGCGCCTGTAGTCTCAGCTACTCTGAAGGCTGAGGCTACAGCATCACTTGAGCCTGGAAAGCGGAGGTTACAATGAGCCAAGATTGCACCACTGCACTCCAGCCTGGGTGACGGAGAAAGACCCTGTCTCAATATATATAGTGTAACTGGGACTACAGGCATGTGCCACCATGCCACCTCTTGCCTACCTGAGACTACAGGTGTGTGTCACCACGCCTGGCTAATATATATATATATGAGATAAAGTATTTATATAAGTAAAAAAACTTTAAAAAATTTAAATACCCACTGATAAGGTATTGGTTAAATAAACAACCACTTATTGTGAAATGTAAGTAATATGTATACATGTATCTATATATTTATTGACACAAACAGGTCCATAATATGCTGGAAAAAGGCTGTCAAACAGTACAGATAGTATATTCTCATTCTGATTTTTTTTAATGGAGTGCCACTCTGTCACCCAAGCTGGAGTGCAATGGTGCGATCTCAGCTCACTGCAGCCTCTGCCTCCCAGGTTGAAGCGATTCTCCTGCCTCAGCTTCCTGAGTAGCTGGGATTACAGGCACCAACTACCATGCCCGGCTAAGTTTTTGTATTTTTAGTAGAGACAGGGTTTTGCCATGTTGGCCAGGCTGGTTTCAAACTCCTGACTTCGGGTGATTCACCCGCCTCAACCTCCCAAAGTGCTGGGATTACAGGCATGAGCCACCCCGCCTGGCCCATTTTGGTATTTTAAACAGGAAAAAGATGTAAATACACAGAGAAAAGTGGGGCTTAACCCCAAAATGTTACCAGTAGGGATTACGGGGGATTCTGTTCTTCCATTTTACACTTTTTGGCAATGAACACCTGTTAGTTTTGCAATCAGAAAAACAACAAAGCCCTCTGAAAAGAGAAACAAAACACAACCTGAAGGACAGTGCAAGCAGATCACAGACAGATGATGGCAACAGAGACTTGTGCACAGCTCTCCCTCCTCAAGTGACCACATCCTGCTCCTCAAAGGCAGTGGGCAGTCTGGAGGGGTAGCTCAGCTGCGAGACCATGGCTTATTTCCTTGCCAGCATCCCTAACCCATGTCAGGCCATCTCACAGCCTGTCCACAGGCAGACTTCAAGAGGCCACCAGACGCCTCTTACTTAAAAAGCAATAGAGCGGCAGTGCCTGAGCACGTGAGACTAAGACATGGGAAAGCAGTTTCCCCAAAGAGAGTGGGCAGGGAAGGAACCACTTCGGAGAGGAAAACAGCCAGCAGCTCATCAGGCTGTGGCTTTCCTCTTCTGGGAAGCAGGGCCTTCAACTCTGCTGGCCAGTGATGCAGAGCCGGACCGTTCATCACTTTGAATGCCCAAATTAGTCACTTGGCTGCACACTCATGGCTCGGCACCCAAACCCAGGTATGCTCAGCGGCTGCTGCTTGCCACTGGCTGGCTGGCTTGGGCTGTTGGAACTGAAGCCCTGCGTGTCCTAGTCCATCCTCCTCCTGTGAAGCACAACAGAGGCAACACTTGCTTCTCACAAACTGGTCATTCCTCTACCAAGAGGTGAGTGCCCGGGTGAGTTACCACGAGATCCAAGACTGCCCAGCGTCATCAGTCCCTGACCGAATGGTGCCAGTGTTACAAAAGCACCTTTTAGATTGCTGCCTATTTTTAGATGATAGTTTTTTTGTTGTTGTTGTTTTGGTTTTTTGTTTTTGTTTTTAAGATAGGATTTCTCTCTCTCTATGTGCAGTGGCACATCATAGCTCACTGTAGCCTCAACCTCCTGGACTCAGGCAATCCTCCCACCTCAGCCTCTTGTGGAGCTGGGACTATAGGCATGTGCCACCAAGCCTGGCTAAAATTTTTTTTTTGTATAGGCAGGGTCTTGCTGTGTTGACCACAGTATGTTTCCTATTTTTTTTAATTCTAAATTGCATAGTACGAACAAGAGAGTACACAAAACACATCTGCCTGAGTTAAATGATCATTAATATTTATTTATTTTTGTTGTAGAGATGGGGAGCTCACTCTCTTGCCCAGGCTGTTCTCAAACTCTTGGATTGAAACCACCCTCCTGCCTTGACTTCCCTCACTTTTGGGATTGACAGGCATGTGCCACTGGTATCTCTTTTTTGAGACGGAGTTTCGCTCTTGTTGCCCAGGCTGGAGTGCAATGGCGCGATATCGGCTCACCGCAACCTCCGCCTCCTGGGTTCAGGCAATTCTCCTGCCTCAGCCTCCTGAGTAGCTGGGATTACAGGCATGCGCCACCATGCCCAGCTGATTTTTTGTATTTTTAGTAGAGACGGGGTTTCACCATGTTGACCAGGATGGTCTCGATCTCTTGACCTCGTGATCCACCCGCCTCGGCCTCCCAAAGTGCTGGGATTATAGGTGTGAGCCACCGCACCCGGCCTTGTATCTGTCTTAATTTAGAATAGCCATTGGCAAACTGGCTTGCCACCTCTTTTTGTAAATAAAGTTTTATTAGCACAC